AGCATCACAAAGTTTTTGGGCCACGAATTGCCTTAAAAATTCCCCTACTTTAATCTTTTTAAAAAAACTATGGAAATTCCCAGGGGGAAAAAACAACTTTGTGAAAGGAAACCCTCAAGTCCGACCTTCTTGTCTCTCTCCCTCTCCCCCCTCCAGCCCTGCCGTGCCCCCCGCACAGCCACTACACCGAGTGCGCCTCGCCCTGCCCGGCCACCTGCTCCGACCTCTACGCCCCAGCCAGCTGCCCGAGCCCCGCAGCCTGCGTGGAAGGCTGCGCCTGCGACCGCACCTACGTGCTAAGCGACGAGACCTGCGTCGCCATGGGGGAGTGTGGTTGCCTGGATGACCAGCAGGGTTACCATAGCGTGAGTGTGGTGGCAGGCGGGGGGGGGGGAATGCTGCGCGGAGGGGGGGAGCGGGGGGCAGGATCTGACCCTCCTGTCTCTGCTTTTCCAGTCGGGGGACACTTGGTTGAGCAGCGACTGCAGTGAACGCTGTGCCTGCCTGGCGAACGGTAGCGCCCCCTGCCAGCCATTCCAGTGCCCGGTGGGGTCCCACTGTGCCCTCAGCAGCGCCGGGATCCACTACTGCAAACCCACCGGTGAGTGACGGGCAGGGGGGGTGGGGACGGGGTTCCGGCAGCGGGGCGGGGTAGGGAGCGCAGCCTGGGGGGGATTTGGGGAGATCCAGGAGTGGGGAGGAGGGGGGGAGCGCAGCCTGGGGGGGGGGGTTGGGGGGATGGGGGGGGGGGGGGGGGGGGCGCGGGCGGAGGGGGGATTTGGGGAGATCCGGGCTGGGGGGAGGAGGGGGGGAGCGCAGGCTGATGGGGGACACCCCGAAGCACCCCCTAAACACCCCCTCGCCCTTCTCCCAGAATTTCACCAGTGCACCGTCTCCGGCGACCCCCACTACCGCACCTTCGACCGTTACGTCTACCACTTCCAGGGCCGGGCCACCTACACCCTGACCACCACTCTGCCCACGCTGCCCGGGGCCCTGCCTCCGCTGAGCGTCTCGGGCCGGAACGGGCGCTGGGTCGCCCGCCACCGGGTCTCCTTCCTGCGCGAGGTCTACGTCTTGGTGTATGGCTACCGGGTCACCATGATGCAGGGCCGCAAACTGGCGGTGAGCACCCCAATGAACCGGCTGCCCCGCCCCAGAGGTGGCTGCATCTCAGCACTGGGTGACGGGTCCCTGGATAACCAGCCGCCCCACCCCAGAGGTGGCTGCTGAATAACAAACCAGTAACCACTTTGTCTGTACTCCAGCCACCACACTCAAAACTCACTTAAAATCACTACCAGTGTCTCAAGCGATCAGTTGTGCGCAGATCCTGCCGACTACGCCACTGGGACGGGTTGGGTCACAGAGACCCCTTGGGAACTGCCACCGGATGTGCTGAGATACCCCTGAGCCCGTTTTCCCTGCCAGCCTGGATTTGCAGCACCCTGCCTGGTCTGAACCAGACACACACGCCTGCTGCAACACAGCCCCAGGTCTGACCCACGTCCCCCACAAGCTGGACTTAACTGGAAATGGCTTAGCGAGTGCTCCTGTCTCCAGCACCCAGACCCCCAGCTCCCAATGGTGTCCAAACCCCAAATCAATCCATTTTACTCTGTATAAAGCTTATACAGGGTAAACTCATAAATTGCCCGCCCTCTCTAAAGAGAGAGATG